TCCTCCAAACAACCCCCACTCGGCCGCACGCTGCCCCGGCCGCACGCTGCGTTGCCCCTCGCCGAGCATCTGCGGCCAGAGAACACACGCCAGCAAGCCTCGTCCCTCCGGCTCCATCGCTCGCCGCCCCCCAATCCATTTCGATCTCATAAAGCGAACCGCAGCCGGGAAATGCAAATACCTTCCTTCTACCCCCCCCACGCCCTTGAGATAATGCTGCGCTCCTTCGCAGCGCCCTTCCTGTATCGCGCCAGCACTGTTCCGCCTTTTTTATAAATTGTTCGGCGCCATTTTTTTGTTTTTCGTCCCCCACACCCCTCCCGCCGCGCACACACACACACACACCCAACCACCACCTCCTCCTGGCCCACGCCGCGCTCCTCCAACCCCGCACGACATGCTCAGCCGAAACCTCCCTGTTCCACCCCGGTCCCTCCCTCCGTGAAGAACGCCCTGCACTGTCAGTCGGCCTCTTCCGTCCTGACTCTGTTCGTGTGCATTTTTGGTCCCTTCTCCCCCCCACCCACCCCGACGCCCTCCGCGCGTCCCCTCCGCTCGCGGCGCGGTTTCCGGCGACAGCCATTGATTCGTCGGCTGTCATGCCCCGCGCCCTCCCGTGCCCTCATCTTCCTGCTGCCGCACGCGCCGGCACCGCCGCCCCACCTTTCTCCTACAGCGCCGCAATCGCGGGGTGCCCGCCTCCAGCACCGAACAGCGAGTTGTCGGCGTGCTCCGGGAACGCAGCTCCAGCCCAATCGCCGCCGCCGCCGCCGCCCTCCCCGCCAGCACCACCCGCAGCCGGAGACGAGCAGGAGGCGAAGGAGCCCGCGCCATCGTAGCGCCTACCGCCCCCGGTCCTCACGGCCTCCATGTCCCTCAGGCAGCAGCAGAGCTGCTCCAGCTCGTAGCCCGTCACCGCCAGGAAGGCGAACGACGTCGGCGGGGCCGCTCCCGGAGTGGTCACGCAGGACGCCCAGTAAAGGGCGGAGGCCGCCAGCGCCGACGGCGGGTGCTCCAGCGAGCAGGACTCCCGCAGCATGCAGAGCAGGATCTGCTCGGCCTCCCTGCGCACCCGCTCCCGCCCGGGGCCGTCGGCCAGCACGTACCCCAGCCCCTCCGCCCGGCGGAGGAAGACACCGAGGAAGGACAGGGAGGTCGGCACCGTCAGGCGGAAGCCCAGCGCGGAGGCCACCTGCATCTCCGTCGCCGCCAGCTCCTTCCGCGCCGCGCGCACGTCTGCGTTACCGCCTCCGCCGCCGCTGCCGCTGCCGCTGCCGCCGCCGCCGAGGCCGAGGCTGTCTCCGGCTCCAAGGACGCCGAAGAAGTCGCCGCCTCCGCCTCCGCCGCCGACCCCGCCGCCGCTGTCAGCGCCACCCCCGAGATGGAGCGGCGGCTGCGACGACGACGTGCTGCTGCTGGAGATGGAAGCCGCCGCCACGCCCCAGAGAGAGGCCGCCTGCTGGTCCTGGTACTTGGAGGCGAGCACGAGGCACGCCGCGCCCGCGAGCTTGACCGCCGGCCCTAGCAGCAGCACGCCTCCTCCGCCGTCGCCCCACACGGTCTTCGCTCCCTGAGGCGTCG